GCAAGAGCTCGTGCTTGCGTACGATACGATCAGGTATGAACCGCTTCCGCAGTTCTAGATACGCCCATGCACCATTCTCGCCGTGCTTCTGGTATGCTTCTTGAATCAGTCGCTTGGCCTTGTCTGCTGTCTGCAGGGCGAGGAAGCCGAACAGCCATCGGAGGTTCTTAGCGTTGGAGCTCTCCTGCTCAATCAGGATTGGCTGTCCCTGCTGGTTCACCACGGGCTGATTATTGCTATCCATCTGTGGCACCGCTATCTTCATCGGCGGGACGTCCTCATCCTTAGTAGGTAGATAGACTTTCACTTCCATCTCTCTTGCTGCCAAGTAGGCTCTGAGAGTAAAGTCCCATTCACGCCACTTGATGTCGTTCTCGCCACTCCTGCCGGTAAAGACGGGGAAGGTGGCCTTGGTCTCGAGATTGAGTGTCATCTCTGCTGTCTGCTTTGTTGATGTTGTTGTTGTTGTCTTTCTTCAAGTACTGCTAGTAGTTGACTGCTGCTGATACTGCGCAAGACACTGATAGACCTGTTAGGATCTGTCAGTTAGCTGGCGAAGACTTCGGCTCAGATAAGCAAGAACCAAGTTGCTGCGCCCATGTGCGAAAAAGGCCGGTGAGGACCTTTCCTGTAGTTAGCTGAATAGAGGATCTGCTGGGCGGTAAGTCCCAGTAAGAGTGTTTTTACTTTAGTAAGACCGATGGATTGACCAGTCAGTCAAAGTTGTTTCTGTCCATGTATGGCATCATGAAGGGTGGTCAACACAGATCTCACTTCGGTGATGGCTGATAAGATCGTGTCTCCTCAGAATGCTTTCCTTGTCTTTCCTTGTCTTCTCCTCTCTCCACCCGTTACACAGCAATATACCCTAGCTCACAAGCTCGCAGTGGTTCGTCTTGCCAAGCTGGCAATCCTGCCATCTCTCACGAACAGGTGAAGAAGGAGAAAAAGAAGAAGCCTGCCCAGCCACACACAGCGACGATGGACCGCAGCACTATCTTTGTCTTGGTGCCCACCGGTACGTCCGGAAGTTGACGGGATGCATTGCATGTCCTCATCCGTCAGATCCTGCATTCGCTTGTACACATGTTGTGTGGCACACGTCAGCATTGCTGGTGGTGTTCCTGCTGGTAAAGCTGGACCGAAGCATCAACGCACAGGTGGGGAGGGGAAGCGGGTGAGAGATCTCAGAGAGATCTCGATGAAGGACGTGGGCTGCGTGTCTGTGTCTGAGCAGGTCGGACGTGACAGTCTCCGCCGCCTGCAAGTTGAGGGCGATTTGGCCGAGGTCAACGTCACAGGTGTGTGTGTGTGTGTGTGTGCATTCATGACTGTGCGCGGATAGTCATTCTTCTGCCGCTGCCGCTGCGTGTGTAGATCTGTATGCTCGTATCCAGCAGGTCATCGACGACGAAATAAATGTTCAGACAGACAAGGTGATGCGGATCGAGGCCTGTCAATGCATGTACATGTCAATGCATGTACATGTCAATGTATGTGTGTATGTGTGTGTGTGTGTGTGTGTGTGCAGCGGGGCGTCTTGCGAGGCGACAACCAGCGAGTGGTCAAGACGGCCGACTACCTGGACACTACCGGCATCTTTGGCCTCCTTGACGCCAACCTCACCGCATTTGATAAGGTGTAGCGCACATGTGTAGAATGTGTATCCAATCAGGCAGGCATGTGCGCGTGTGTGTATATGTCTGTCTGCAGATAGAGACGATATACCTCCGTTGGACGTATCCGATAGATGAGGAGGGGAACAATCGCACTCAGGAGAATGTGTACCGCGTCCAGAGCATCAGGTGGGGCGCGACGCACTCACACACAAAACACACCTATACCTGAACTTGGTGTGCATGTGGTCATGTGTGCCTGTACAAGGCGTTTCACGAATGATACGGACGGCAAGCCTGTGGTGCAGGTCGATTTCGTCGGCGGGGACAGGTGAGGTACGCCACAACCACATTCACACAGCTGCATGTGCATATGTAATCGAACCGATGCCGTGATGTGCAGGCTGGTGTTGATAGCCGAGGGCGCCAACCTCTTTGCAGCCAACGACCTGGAAAGGCCCATCGCCGTCTTCAAAGTATGCACGAAACATACGGATTGATACGGCCCTACGCGCGCGCGTGTGTGTTGTGTGTGTGTGTGTGTGTGTGTAGGGTCCTGCAACGGATGAACATCCAGAGCTGATCGAATTCTACGAAATTGAGCAAGAGGACCTGAGACGGTATGCGCACACACCTACACTCGGGCGTATGCATTACCACGTGTGTGTGTCGTCCGTCCTGTCTGTGTGTGTTGGAACAGTGCTTTGCAGCGCGGGGGTGCCGCAGGGTTTGGTCCTCGTGGCTCGCCGAACAGCGGCATGAGAGTCGGGGTCATGGGCGATGCTACCAGAAGAGCAAGTGAGCTGTGTGTGGGGGCGGGGGACGGCACGCACCGCACCGCACCGCACCGCAGTGCACACAGAGAGCCAGGCATCCATCGCTTACCGTGTGTGTCTTCCTTCGTCTGTGTGTCAGGCAACCTCGCTCGTGGGCTGTCGCCCGACACTGGCAGCCTCAGATACCAAGCGCGTACGTCATGATGTCATATCGATGGGACCCCACGCGAATGCGTGTCGTCGAACTGTTACGAGGGGGGAGGGGCCCCCGAGTAATGGGAGGCGATCGGCCAGACGGAGAGCATACGAAATTTCCGGGCAACAAATATCCACATATTTTTCGAGAGTGATTTTCACTCGCCTTGAGGTAGAGTGAGGTTGAGTACGTATTTTAGAAGGGCTGGACAAGAGGAGACGGTAGAGATTTCGGAGGAATTCACGTATGGTGCACGGAAACTGGCTTTGCTCCAAGTTTATCGTTCTGTTTGCTGAGTGCATGCGGCGACCGCTGAGGAACAGGAAGGCTGCAATTACAAAGGCTTCGACGAGAGGAGCAATGCAATGCCCTTTAATGGGGGGGGGCATTAAAGGGCAGACGTGTAGGTATTCGAGGCAGACGATGATGCATAGGAAGACGAGCGCATTTCGGTAGGACGGCAGGCATTGGTATGAGCTTTGCAAAGGGAGACTGCGCGCTGTCATGATGCGGGGGCGTTATGGGGGCGTCTTGGCACAAGCGAATTAAAGCGAATGAGACTTTCTTGTCTGGTTCAAGGTGTTGAAGTCACCGTTGTTGTCTTGTGTGGGGATTTGTGGCTCGAGAAACTTGTGGATATATGCTCAGTCGCCCGTCAAAATACGCCGGAAGATGTCCAGAGAGTACCTCATCGTGTGCACGTAAAGGTACATGCCGGTTGGCAATAGAGACACGTAGCGAAAGAGAAACGTAAGCTTTCGTGTGTATCCATCAGACAAACAGTCATGTGTGAGTCAATGCGTAACACGCAGTGAAAATCAGGGGGGGGGGGGGGGGGAAAAA